GAAGCAAATTTTTTTTGCTGATCGTAAAGAGGAAGCAAAATGTTCATGTAATGTACATCTGGATTTACAACTTGTTTTATTTATTTACAGTTAAAAATTTTTTTGGAGTATCCTAACCTATAGGCTTTGTTCATATATTACGTAACGCTTTTTGGGGGAGGGGGTGTCAAGCTATTTGTTATCACTGTAAATAAAAGGTTCTAAATTGGAGCTGATTTTCGGTATTAAAATAGAACCAAATGACGATTTAGTACCCAAAATTGGTGCTAAATTAATACATTAGTACCTTTCTTTTTACAGTGTACTATAAGCCAAAAAAATGGCGCTAATGTATGTAACAGTGTGTGACATGGAGGAGGGAGGGTCAAAATTTTCAAAAATTAGCGTTACGTAATATATGGACGAAGCCATAGTAAATAAAATTTTAATCATGTTTTTTATTTTCAAAGTGAAATTTATAAATGTATTGTAATAAATAAAGAAAAAAGACAACATAAATAATAATTATTAATTTCATGCGACAGTTCTTTCAAATTAGACGTTTGCAAACACAGAGCTGTTAAACTAACATTGTCACTTTCATTATTTTTAAGTTTTCCAATCTTAATAATATAATTGCCCTACTAAAAATAAAATCAGGAATCGTCATGAATGGTCATAATTTCTGAACATTCCTGAACAGTCTCACCACTTCTGACGTTTTCGAACGTTTCTCACCATTCCTAACCAAATACTTTCCAAGCTCCTCCCACTTTACTCCCACCATTTTCGAAGCTGTGACCATTTCTGAAATTCCTGACCATTTCTGAAATTCTTGACTATTTCTGAAATGTGTGAACACATAACCTATAAAAATTTTGGTACATCTTTCTAATTTTGGTAAAGTCTTATGAAAATTTATATATATATAAAATCTTTCAAATTTATTTTTTACATTTCAGAATACATTATTCTATTATAAAAATTGTTCTTTTAACTTGACAAAAGTTCTCATTTTTCAAATTGGTATAATTATTGAATTAATTATACAGCAAAAGTAGGTAAATAAATCAAAACATTCGGACCATTCTTTTAACATTATTTAATATATTTATTTAATGTATATATTTATAATATATTAATTTAATATATGTATATTTACTTGTAATTATTTAATATAGTTAATTAATAATAAATTTTGTTTCATAATATTAGTAATTTACTATACCAGTCAGTACTTATTATGAGAAGTATTTGCATTATAATTGAAATACTGTTATATTTAAATTATTATTAATCATTAATAGAATAATTTTTTACTATAATGATTATTAATAATTTAAATTTAAAATTTATAAAAATTTCAATATTGCATTAATAATTCATTATTGTTATAAATTATAATGTTAAATTAAATTAATATTAAATACTAAATTCATTTTAAATGCAGATATAATAATAATTATTATTAATCTGTATTCGTATTATAGTTTATGAAACATTCCAAATTGTAAAGTTAAGACTTAATTTATTATTGATTCAATTAATAATGTTAATTTTTATTAATTCACATAACCTATTATGACTAAATTGAAATATAATTAATTAATAAAAATTATTTAACAGTTTATTCTGATTTATTGATAATATTGGTAATTGAATTTTACTATTTTACAGTTGCTCTTTATATAGACAGTTGAATCCAGAAATATGTAAGTCGGTTCGGTAGTCGCAGTCGTTAGGGCAGTTAGTTTAGGCACTAGGTTAGGTCATGCGTCGGGGTTCGATCCCCGTAGGGTCCAAATTTTAATTTAATTCCGGGAATTAGTTTCAAGTTGTTCCGTATGTAAACAAACTGATATTAATTAATAAAATATATTTTTTAAAATTAATTTGTTGCAACTTTTTGCATATTGTTTAAATAAATAAAACAGAAGTGGCTTAAAAATATGGTCAAAAATGAGATACAAATGGTCTCAAATAGTCACCAATTATGGGCGGGGTCAACAAAGAGGAGGGGATAGTAGCAAACTTGTGACCACTTTAACCCATTAACGCCCAGACGGACGAAAAATTTCAATTGACTTTGAGGACCTGGTTTATTACAACAATGGATACAAAAAAATTGACACATAATATTTTTAACGTAAAATTTACTCCTCTTTCAGATTCTGATGTTAAAATTTGTTTACAACAAATTGTTTAAAAGTTATAAACAATTTTTTCCAAAAAAACACGATTTTTGGAGAAAAAAATTTCTTTTCAGACGTATTTTCACCGGAAAAATGCAAATGGATGCTCTCAAAAGATCAAAATATCGCGTCCATGGACCCTCAGCTACAAAACCCTGAAGATGCCAATTTTTTTTTTCAAAATGGCGGACGACAATATGGCGGCAAAAACTAAAAAAATGGCTCACATATGAAACATAGTGCTCTAACTTTTTTGAATCACCGAAATCGACTGAAACTCGATACTCGGGGGTTCTTGGGGTCGCTGATTACGAATATGATGTTATTTTTCCAAAATTCAAAATGGCGGATCCAATATGGCGGACAATTTTTTAAAAATGACTCTATATTGCTTGAAATTTGTTACTCAGGGGTTCTTGGGGTCGCTGATTACGAATATGATGTTATTTTTCCAAAATTCAAAATGGCGGATCCAATATGGCGGACAACTTTATTAAAAATGACTCTATACTGCTTGAAATTTGTTACTCGGGGGTTCTTGGGGTCGCTGATTTCGAATATGATGTTATTTTTCCAAAATTCAAAATGACGGATCCAATATGGCGGACAACTTTATTAAAAATGACTCTATACTGCTTGAAATTTGTTACTCGGGGGTTCTTGGGGTCGCTGATTACGAATATGATGTTATTTTTCCAAAATTCAAAATGGCGGATCCAATATGGCGGGCAACTTTTTTAAAAATGATTCTATATTGCTTGAAATTTGTTACTTCGGGGTTTTTGGGGTCGCTGATTACGAATATGATGTTATTCTTCCAAGATTCAAAATGGCGGATTCTTGGAAAAATAACAGTATAAAAATATAAAATAAACAAAAAAAATAAAAAAAATAAAAAACAAAAAAATATATAAAAAAACAAAAAAATAAATAAAAAAACAAAAAAAAAGAAAAGACTCTTTTATGTCCACCTCCACGCGGTAAGAGTCGGGCAACGGCGAATTATTCGCCGGCAAACGGACCATAAAATTTAAGCAATATGAAGTCACTTTTACAAAACTCGTCCGCCATATTGAATCCGCCATTTTGAATCTTGGAAGAATAACATCATATTCGTAATCAGCGACCCCAAAAACCCCCGAGTAACAAATTTCAAGCAGTATAGAGCCATTTTTAATAAAGTTGCCCACCATATTGGATCCGCCATTTTGAATTTTGGAAAAATAACATCATATTCGTAATCAGCGACCCCAAGAACCCCCGAGTAACAAATTTCAAGCAATATAGAGCCATTTTTAATAAAGTTGCCCGCCATATTGGATCCGCCATTTTGAATTTTGGAAAAATAACATCATATTCGTAATCAGCGACCCCAAGAACCCCCGAGTAACAAATTTCAAGCAGTATAGAGTCATTTTTAATAAAGTTGTCCGCCATATTGGATCCGCCATTTTGAATTTTGGAAAAATAACATCATATTCGTAATCAGCGACCCCAAGAACCCCTGAGTAACAAATTTCAAGCAGTATAGAGTCATTTTTAATAAAGTTGTCCGCCATATTGGTTCCGCCATTTTGAATTTTGGAAAAATAACATCATATTCGTAATCAGCGACCCCAAGAACCCCCGAGTAACAAATTTCAAGCAATATAGAGTCATTTTTAAAAAATTGTCCGCCATATTGGATCCGCCATTTTGAATTTTGGAAAAATAACATCATATTCGTAATCAGCGACCCCAAGAACCCCCGAGTAACAAATTTCAAGCAATATAGAGTCATTTTTAAAAAATTGTCCGCCATATTGGATCCGCCATTTTGAATTTTGGAAAAATAACATCATATTCGTAATCAGCGACCCCAAGAACCCCCGAGTATCGAGTTTCAGTCGATTTCGGTGATTCAAAAAAGTTAGAGCACTATGTTTCATATGTGAGCCATTTTTTTAGTTTTTGCCGCCATATTGTCGTCCGCCATTTTGAAAAAAAAAATTGGCATCTTTAGGGTTTTGTAGCTGAGGGTCCATGGACGCGATATTTTGATCTTTTGAGAGCATCCATTTGCATTATTCCGGTGAAAATACGTCTGAAGAGAAATTTTTTTCTCCAAAAATCGTGTTTTTTTGGAAAAAATTGTTTATAACTTTTAAACAATTTGTTGTAAACAAATTTTAACATCAGAATCTGAAAGAGGAGTAAATTTTACGTTAAAAATATTATGTGTCAATTTTTTTGTATCCATTGTTGTAATAAACCAGGTCCTCAAAGTCAATTGAAATTTTTCGTCCGTCTGGGCGTTAATGGGTTAAACTTCCTCCTGATCAGTTGTGATAGATTTCTGACGAGATCCATCCAGAATCGTAAGAAAACTGGATTAAAGTGGTCAGGCGGCCTGACCATTTGTCTGACCATTCCTGATTTTATTTTTAGTAGGGTGGCATTAAGAACGCGATTTTCTTCAATCATATTTCTGTGTTAAGAAGTCGTATTCGCCCAAGCAAAAATATTTTCTATTTTAATTAGCATTTTGGAAAAAACTTTGACATTACACGTGTAGTTTGCACTATTTTGGGGTATATATGCCGCCATATTGAATAAGCCACGCCCCTATGTCAATTCCCAAAAAAGATGAACTTTCCTTTAAACTGGAGATCTCATTGAAGGACATAAAATTAATACTCTTCGAATTTAATTCAATTTTAACTAATTTTCCAAAACACTTTTTTTTAATTATCAAAAGGAATGGCTTCTTTTTTATGAAATGTTTCCCTTTAATTAAAAAGGTAAATAACTTTGTTCTGTACATATAATTATTTTTAAAAGAAGAATTACCTGCTCAACAAGGGCGTCTCTGTGTGCATATTCAATATAATTAGGTACATGTTGAGAATTTTCTAGAGCTAATATGATACTTTTCCACAAAGGCACTACATATTTTCCATATGAGTTGCAAACTGAAATAGCCCAAGCAGCATTTGTACGCACTTTAAAATTTATACTATCACGTATCAACTTTCCCAAAGTTGGAAATACCTTGTCCTATAATCATAGATATTATACATATTATTCAATTTACACATAATTCGAATATGGGTCGTTGCCAAATTAAGGAATAACTTTAATTTACAGACAAATATTTTGAGGCTAAACTTCTTTTCTCATATTGCTTGCAAATAGTTTCAGTTTTTATGTTAATTTTGGCATTTTCAAAAAAGTTGTGGTGTTGTGCAACACAGGTAAAATGAAAGTTAAAAATGCATGAATTTCTTAAATTAAGGGGTTATACTACTCAGCAATTAGTATATTATGCAACAAGGGTATAAAGGCAGCCATTTGTTTACGGTGATTTTTGTGACACAAAAATCATCGTAAACAAATTGGCTGCCTTTATTCCCATACCTTTTACCCGACCATTCTCCCGAATCCATTAACCCGAACGTATTTTTCACCGAATGACCAATATCCCGAATGACCATTTCCCCGAATACAATTCCACCGAATGCAGTTTTACCGAAAGGACAAGATCCCGAAAAGATAATATTGCAAAAATTATTATATTTATTAAATTTTCAATAATTATAATTACTAAATAAAATGCGTACTGTATAAAAATAGCGTAAATTGTTAAAAATTTGTGTATGAAAGGTGTCAGTAAGTAATAAAAGCAAAAAATTAAAGGTTAATGTATTGTGAGCGATTGCAGTTAAAAAAGTTAATTCATCTCTGTCTTCTCTGTAGCGATTATATTGTTCAACTATTCCTTTGATACGCCGTTGATGTTCAAGCCACTTTCGTTTAGGAGCAGCTTTGACTTTTCTTCCCAAACTCAATTCCGCAATCATGATTTCCGTATCAGCCTGTTCTTTCTTCATTTCAGTAAGAGCTGAATAAAGATCAGGGTGATGCTTTCCTATTACTAATCTGAATCTGTTGTGCCAACCCTCGCTCACATTGTTGGTCTTATGACTATCATTGAGAGCAGCGACATGTTGATTCCACAATATCGGTGGGTACTGAGGTGCTACAGCTCTCCGTCTACCTCTTGCTGGATGACCGATGACATAGGTTGCACCAAAATATTCAAAAATCGGAAGAAGAGTTTCACTTGAATGGTTTTTTAAAAGATTGAAGACATGAATAACTTGATCTACAGGAACATAAGCCAAGGCTAAAATCATGTGACTTTCCAGTTTCAACTGCCGATCAAGAAGATTGTTGTACTGTTCTTGCAAACCCGACTCCTGAATTTTGCGGTATAACGATTGTCCTAGGTGGTAAAAGCAGCAGGAAATATCAACATTTGGAAATGTTTCAGAACAAGCCTTCAAAATTCCTTTTTCAAAGTCTGTCATAATTTTCTGTGGCATGAAATTGTCGATTCTGTACTCAGCGGCTGCAGATTGCACAGCGTCTAAAACTTTATTGTATTGAGCAGCATCTTTCGAAGATAGAAGAGCATAAACCAGTGGCACAGCAACTGTTTCTCGTTCTTCACGTAAATTTCTTTGACCGGTTCCCAAAATGGTAAAAACTTGTGTAAAAATGCTCGGGCATACCTAAATATTTATATTTAAAAAATGTATCTAATAAATGGAAATATTTATATTTAAAAAATTTATGTAATAAACAGAAAAATATTATTAATTATTTACCTTAAACGTTCCATCTAAAAACCAGCAGATGCTTCTACCAAGAAGTTCTAAATTTCGTCTAGTGGCAAACACGAGAACTCGGCCTTCATCATTGGAATCATGGATTAAAAAATTTTCCCCAATGAGTGTTTTTTGAAAAATTTCGGGTATTTCATTTAAATCTGCTAGGGATTTTGGGTTAGGTGGCAAATTTTTTCTACGCTCTCTTCTTATAATTTTTTTCAAATTATCACGCTCGGGAAGTTGACTGAGCACACCCTCAGATACACCGGCCAATTCAACACGAAGCAATTGAGCTGGAGGCTGTTCTGGATAAAGTTCCGCTTTCCTTTTCACACATACTTTCAGCAATTCTGCATTACATTCTTCTTCATTTGGTGGATGTTCATGAATAGACTGTAAAGGGAAATCATGTGAAGGTCCTTTAAAAACAATAATATTTTCTCTCTGTAGAGGTTTAGATGTGATAGCCCTCGCTTTGCATTCCTTATCCCGTAACTTTCGACAGTCCCAATATGTGCGGCCTTTACTCGTTTTAGATTTTACGTAAATATATCCACCAAGAATAAGTTTTTTGTCCGCTATTTTTGCCATACTTAAAATTTTGTTATCGATCGAAAAATTTGTATACTTTAAACTAGATAATTTTGCAATATGTGACACTCCATTTATTTATTTACAATCGTTGCTAAGGTAACAAGAATTCAATTTTTAAAAACATTTGACAAACATTTTTATGTTTAAAAATTTCGAAATACTGTCTTCGGAAAAATATATGTTCGGGAAAATGGTTTCGGGAAAAATAGCATTCGGGTAAAAAATATTCGGGGAAATGGATTCGGGACAAATGCATTCGGTAAAACGGTATTCGGAAAAAAAAATTTCGGTAATTTTGACATTCGGGAAAAAGGTCATTCGGGGAAATGTATTCGGGATTTTGTACGAGAATCGTTCCCATGCGTTATTCTTGCCCATGGGAGAACACGGCCGCCATTTTTATACGGTCGAAGAAATGAATGACTTTACTCTCTGTCGTCTGCTATCAGAAAGCGCCATTTTTGTGCATTTGGAATAAAAAACTTTGTTTGTCCTACCTGCACGGAAATTATATCATTTCGGGCACTTAGAGCGGACGCAAAGTAACACATTCCCGCCTGGGGGTAGGGTAAGCGGACGCAAAATATTTTGCGCCCGCTTTTCCTATCCCGAGTGGGCGGAATAGAATTTTGCGCACGCTCTCGCTTAAAAATGTCAAAACGCATCTAGATTACCGTCAACCGGGGCTATTTTGTGCACCAAATAGCTTTTTTTTTATTCAAAGATTTATTTAAATTCAGAATTAAGAGAATAAAGAAAATCAACTTTTGATATATGTTGTGGACATCCTTCTGAAGCTTTCCTATAAATTTGGCAAAGAAAAAAATTTTTTTGTCTTAGTTATAGTCATTGAAAGTCGTGCACACAATAACTCCCGGGATGGGGCTATTTTGTGCATCGAACTTTGTTTTCCTATAATGTTGCGTAAACATTTTTTTAATCGTTTCTGCTTTATGAAATCTTTTGTGTATATATTTGAGAGTAAGTTAAAAAAAGAATGACCTAGTAAAATTTTTTTGTAGATATATTATACAAAAAATGTAAAATAAAGCACTAAAATTTTGCTAAAATCTGAATTTACTAAAAATTAACAATCTTTCTTTAAATTGTATATTACGCAGATAGTAAATAACATTTTTTTCTTTTTTAATATATATTTTATAATAATATACTAATATAATTATAAAATGATCGTTTAAACACTTATAAATAACTTTAAAACATCATTTCAATAGGAGCTTTTTTAATAGTTTTGAATGATATTTTTAAAAAACTTAAAATAAATATTTTTAAGGTTAAATAGATAACAATTTAATATCTAATATGCTTTTCAAGTTATTTTAAGAGAAACGAGAAAATAGTTTTAAAACTAATTTGAAAAACTTATAAATATTAATTAATGTTCATTTTTTGAGGTTACGTTGTGCACCGGTTGAGCTTTTAATCGTTTTAATGATTTTAATTAACGTATTTACAGTTTTTTGACAGAAAAGTAAGACAAAAATGTATTAAAATGATAAACAGAATCTTCTTTACTTACTAAATAAAACATTTATGAAAAATATTTGATTTTTTTAAGTGCACAAAATAGCCCCATGGAATCCTGGTTTTTTAGTTTTTTCCACTTTTCTCTTAAAATAATGAATAAAAAATTAGCGCATTACGTAGGGGAATGTAGTCAAGGTTGGTCTACTGTCTAGGTAGGCCATCGCGATTTTTTGGACAAGTTCACTAGCGCCACCTACGCGCATGCTTGTCGAAGCTTGTCTTAGTGTAACCTAACTTTTTGTTCAATTACATTTTCGGAAAATCGAAAATTGTGTTTTCTGTGACGTCGGTACAAAAAAAGCTCAAAAAAAGTTTTGTGCATAATGTGAAAAACCATTAATAAAAGATAAAAAACAAATTGAATCGTCAAGGCAAGTATGCAGAAAATTTGTGGGACTCATGGTTGAAAGAAAAACAAAGTAAAAAATCGAATCCCGAAACGTATTTCTTTATGGTTACAACAATTCGGTAATGTTACTTACTGTCAAGGTCGGCCACTATGTGTTTAAAATGCGCAAAGATGAGGACGAGCTACTTCATTTGTAAAAACTGCAATTCTGTATAACTCATAATATAATTGATCATCTTATTAATATTTTTATTTAATTTTATTAATATTTTAGTGCAAAATTTTTTTTTATTTATATTTATTTTTTTATATTGTTTATTGTTATTATTTTGTTATTTCATTAAGTTACAAGCTGTAAACAATAAAGAATCAATTTTCCGTAACTCCAAACATGTTATTTTATTTTTTAACGATTAATGCCCTTTGAATTTTAAACATGGCCGACCTTGACTGTAATGGCCAACCTGGACTACAAATTTTTTTTTTTTTAAATCTTTATAACTTTTTCATTTTTAAACCAATCAATTTACTTTGTACAGAAAAGATGTTCCTATTAAACAGGACTTTCCAACCATATACTTTAATTGTCCAAATTCATTTTTAAAAAAAAGTTATAAACAAAAGTCAAAAAAGTGGCCGACCTAGACTATGTTCCCCTATGTATCATCACAACACAATTGACAACAAATATCTAACTCAGTTTATGAAACACATTAAAACTCTAGAAGATCTGGTATAATTTTTCCGAACTTTCAAAATTTTTTAAATAAATTTTCCGTTTTTAGGAATTTTTTTCTCTTAATTGACAAAGAATTAAATAATAACATTTAGTGCTCTCTATTGTCATGTAATCAAACTTTCATTTTACAAAATAGCAGATTAAAATAATTCAT